GAGAGTCTGTGACATGGGGGAAGGCTGTGCATGGCAGAGACACATAGCACTGAGACCAGAAGGGGTGAGAAAAATGCATGTCACAGACAAAGTACTGAGATGAAAGGAGCTGAAATGGGGAACATCAGTGCATGGCAGAGAGACACAGCACTCATAGGAGAAGAGCTAAGAACAGTGAAACTGAGTGTAGAGCTCAGACACACAGTGTTGAGAGCTGTGGATCTGAGAATGGGGAAATCTGTTAGATAGCATGAGACACGCAAGGCTCAGATCAGAACAGCAGGCAATGGGCAAAGTGACAATATTTCAGTCACAGACACCAAGCAAGGAGACCAGGGGAGCTGAGAACAGGAAAACTCAGTGCATGCCCCAGACATACAATACAAAAAAAAAAAAGGGATATTGAGAACAGGTAAATTCAGTGCCTGGCACCCAAACATAGGACTCAAATGAGATCAGCAGGGAATTGGGTAACTCGGAACATATCAGTCACATTGAGACCAAGTGAACTAAGAATGGGGAAATTCAGTGCATAGCACACATGTCTAGAGCTAAAAGCAGGGCAGCTGAGAATGGGGAAAGTAGCGCATGACACAGACGCACAGCATGGAGACCAGGGAACAGAGAATGGGGTGACTTGCTGTATAGAACAGAAGCAAACATTGAGACAATGAGAACTGAGAACAGGAAAAATGTGTGCATGACACAGACACACAGTGTAGAGATCAGGGGAGGTGAGAATGGGAAAAGTTTTTACATGACACACACACACAGCACTGAGACCAGAGAGGCTGAGAATGGGGAAAATGTCAGCACGTCACAGTCACGCAGCACAGAGTTCCAATGCAGCTCAGAATGGCAAAACTCAGTGGAGGGACAGACAAATAGCACAGAGACCACAGGATGTGAGAACAGGAAAACACGGTGCATGGCACAGAACTGAGACACTGGGAACATAAAATCAATGCATGTGACAGACACACAGTGCTCTGACAAGGAGAAGGGAGAAAAGGGAGTCTTGGTGTAGAACACATATACACGGCGCTGAGACCAATAGAGCTAATAGGGAAACTGGGTGCATGTTACAGAAACACAGCACTAATACCTCAGAAGCTATGAATAGGGAAACTCAGTATATGGCCCAGACACCGAGTTACAACCCGGGGAACTAAGAAGGTGGAAAACTGAGATCATGATGCCACAGATACACAGAGGCAAGACCAAGGAGCTGAGAACAGGGAAATTCAGTGCATGGTGCCCACACCCAGCGCTGAGACCAGGTGAGCTGAGTATGGGTAAACAAGGCGCATGGAACAGACACACAGCACCACGATTAGCAGAGCTGAGAAAACGACGCAAATGCCTTACAAAGTGCAAGCATATTACAGCAACATAATCATCATTATCAGCCAAATAGGTGATCTCATCAGAGTATGAAATCTGATTTCTTTGGTAAGAAGGACCTTAGCCTCCGGAGGCCCCGGAAGACTGCTGGGTGACGGCTGGTGAACTTTTAGCATGCAGATAGGAACTTTTATTGTGTTAATGTTTTCTCTGTAATGCTGCTACAGTAAGAATAAATGTGGTAGCTTATAAAGCACTACCTTGTAACTTGTGGTTTCTGGCAACTACAACTGTTCATAGCCTTCAAAGAGAAAGCAAAGCACAGAGGCTGGCCGGGTTTGGCAGTCTGGCTGGTTGGGGATAGCACAGTGTAAGCAGGGAACTGTGCAGTCTGGTAAAACCTCTGGCAGGAGAGAGAGAGATAAGGGGCAGATGAGGACCTGAGAGCCTAGAGGGGTGCCCTCAAGGGACCATGGAGGGGGAACACAGGTGCAGTAGTCCTGAACTGTGACAATTCTGATTAAAAAATTAGCACTATGCAGTATCAATGGATTAAGTATTCGCTAACTGACAGATCTCAAAAAGTGGCCATCCATGGGGAATCATCTGTGAGGGGGGTGTTTCTAGCAGGGCTCTGCAGGGATCGGTACCAGGCCTGACTCTATTCAACAGTTTCATCTGCAATCTGGAAGTAAATATCAAATCATTGCTGACAAAATTTGCAGAGTGGTAAATAATGAGGACAGGGCAACCGGAGTGGTAAATAATAAGGACAGCAATGAGGATCACTTGGTAAGCTGAGTCCCCTCAAACGTGTTTTAATACAGCCAAATGCAAGGCCATACATCTAGGAACAAGAATGCAGGCAGTATCTACAGAGTGGGGACCTGTGTCCCGGAAAGCAGTGACTGTGAAAAGGATCTTGGGGTCATAGAGAACAAGTGACTGAGAGTGAACTCCTACAATGCATTGCAGTACCATTTCCAAGTAGAAATATTTCTGTTTTCGGGTGTTTAGTTTCTGACAACAAAAACATGTCCCATGGAAACCAGACACTGTTTGTGAAAAATATGTTTTGGTGATAACCCAATTTTCAGTTCCCAATTTGGCGCTCAGACTAGATGACCCTTCTAACCCTATGAGTCTATGAATCAGTCGCAACAGCGTTTTTGTGGAAAATATTTGGCCAGAGTTGGGGTCTAGGCCACCTGTGCCTCCCCTTCCACCCCACTCCTGGGGTTAAGGGTGTGCAGAGCCCCTTCTCCCTGAACAGTGCCCCAGTATGATATATGGACCCCAGGCCCCCACCCAGTGCTGCTTCCAGCTGGTAGCTACAGTTCTCAGCTCCGTGGCTACCAGCTTCCCTCCTCTCTCTGTCCCTCTCACCCCACTGGGGCTGGTAGAGGGATGCAGCAGGTAGCTGAGGGGCCACGAGGTCTGTTCAAAAGGTCTCCCTGACCCATTCATGAGAATTAGTGAGAATGGGATAGAAGCGCTGTCCATCTAATAAGCCCCACCCATGTGAGTCACCAAATTTCATACAGTTTAAGGCCAGAAGAGACCATGAGGTCATCTGGACTGATCTCATGCAAGCCCAGGCCAGAGAATTCCCCCTTTGCCATGGGCTTCATGCAGTACCATTGAACTGGGAAGCATTTGCTGCCCATTGGGTAAGGCAGAGGGACTTGGTACACTGCTGGGTTCTCCCTCCCTGGGGCAGAATTAAGGTTGTGGGGCTGTGTTGGGTTGGAGGCATCACCTCTACTCTGCAGTTCCTGGTTTTCCAACATTTGGGTTTTGTTTTTCCTTCCAACCTTCTATAAAGGGGGATCTAAGGGGCACTGTAACCTTGCATGTCCCAGTTTGCCAGAGCCTGAGTTTGGGAATTAAACTCTCCCATTCACAAGGAACCTAGGGCTCTAGCAAGAGCCTCTGCCATAACCCCTGGAAGGGGTCTGCACAGGATCCTTAGTTGGGCGGCATGGTGGGTCTCAGAAGTGTCCTAACTGAGGGAGCATGAGGCACTGCTGTCTGCCCAGGTGGGGGCTCAGGAACAGGGCAAGGCCTAGAGCAGAATTCTCCCATTCGTGTATAGTATCAGGGGGTAGCTGTGTTAGTCTGAATCCACAAAAACAGTCCCATTCATGTATCTCGTTCGACTCGGGTCTTTTTCCATAGCCTGATCTCAGGTACTAAGCCTCCCCCTCTGGATTCTGTCTGTGGACTCAGCAGGAATGTGCGGAGATCCTGAGGTGTCCTAAATAAAACTTCTAAGGAAGAGGGACACTTTTCTCTGACCTACTGTGTAATTCTACGTCCCACTTAGAGTAATGAGTTGTGAGTCCTCAGTTTCTGCTGGATCAAAGAAGATTGAGATTGAGAAGAACTTTTAACCTCTAGCCTAGGCTTTCACCCTCAATATTCCTTTGGCTAGTCTTATTGAATGTACACCTGTTACTTTGAACCTCACTATCCATTTCCCCTCTGTTACTTTCTTTTTCTCCTTCACAAAGGGTGGTCTCTGTCCCGTACCTGTCTTTTCAAAGCTAAACCCCATCTCAGTATTGCCAAATCCAATGTTTAAGAATTATAATCCCCTAAAATCATGAGATTATTTTTTTTTAAATCTCATGATTTTTTAAAGTACGATGTGTTGGTTCTTTCATTTGCCTTCTAGTGTTTGAATCTTCAGGGGTCACATTTTCAAGCCTTTCTCTGCAGCCTCAAGATCTAGAAACTTACTTTTTTCACCAGTGGAAACTGACATTCACCCATAAACACATGACTCTGTGAGCTCGGGTATTAATAAAACACCACATATTGCAAGACTGGTGATAAAATTGTGAGAGGGGTAACACTGCTTATTCCACTTCCTTTGAAATATTACATTGTACAAAAACAATAAGCACAGCTTTTTTGTTTTAATGTGAAGAAGTCAGAAACAGCCATGGTTCTCCACTAGAAAGGAATTGCTCAACAGTTTTCTAGTGGAATGTTTTTCCATCAGAAGATGTTGATTTGATTAAATCAAAACATTGCTCATGGACTTATTGACTTCATTAAAATTTTCTATGGGAAATTATTGAAACGTTTAAATTTGATGTTGTCATTTCAACGATATTAATTATGTGATATGATATATGATATTATAATCCACATCAATGGAGGCTTTTAAGAACAGGTTGGACAAATACCTATCTGAGATGGTCTAAGCTTACTTGGTCCTGCGTCAGCTCAGAGGGCTGGAGAAGATGTCCTCTTGAGTTAACTTCCAGCCCAAATTTCTATATGTCTATAATAATATGATATAATGAAATACAGTCAAATTATAACATTAAAATGAAATGTTTAGCTCTTACTGAAACATTTCCATAATGTCAAAATGAAATTGTTCTGAATATTTCATTTTGTGAAAAATTCTGAGAATTCTACTTTTTGTCCCAATTAGGGATGAAATGAAATTTCAGAATCTTGGAATTTTCTGTGGGGCAGGAATTCTGTTTGTGACCAGCTCTCCTCTCAAGGAACATGCACCTTAGTATATTGTATTTCTGCTATGGTAAAACATAGCTCAAACTCAACCCAAAGGCCAATTTTCAGCAATTCCAGCCAATGCTGCTAAAAATCACATTTCACTCTTTTCACCACTCCTGATACACATTTCAACAGCTTTAATCACATTTGTACAACGAGGGAAAATGCAGCAGGTGGATTTTACAACCAGTAACTGGGTGAAGGGGCTGGAAAGGTGGAGGTTAACACAAATAACTGATGCTGTGGTCACTGGGACAGCTACATCACAACATAGCAAGGAAGGATTAAATGACAAAGTAGATTTGGTGGTTCTTGTTTGTTTCTTTCACATCTACCTATTCCATTGCCTACAATTAGTTTGTAGATTCTGCTTGGTCCAATCATGTAATTGTTTATCTTCTACCTACTGTTAATGACTTTTTCTGCCCATTTCCTTTTTAAATTTTAGTTCCCAAAGTTCACCCCTTTGATAGGAGTGGAGGTCAGTGCTCCAGCAAAGTCCTTATTCCTACACAAACTCACAAAGGTCTAATTAACATAGTGTAAACACCTCAAGCTAAACCAAGCCAAGCAAGGTTGGAAATATGAACATCACACATACAGCTGTGCCTGCTAAACTAAATCAGTTTATAATTCTACCTTTAATTAGGGCTTGTCTACATGGGGAAACTGACTAGCTACTGCTATTTTAGAACAACTCTCCACATGGACCCTAAATCTCAATACGAGAGCGTCCACATGCAGTGTCATTAGGGGATATCTGTAACACTTCAAATTCACACTCTCCGTTATTCTGAAATAACTTCCCTGCTCGGAGAGGCCCTTAGACTGGGGTAATTTTTTGTCTGTAGAGACCTGAACTAATCAATTTAGTCTAAACCAAAATGAGCCTGGATTATAGCGTGTTTACACAGCCTATTAAACCAGGTCAACGTCACCCTGTAAGTTAAAGGGCTGTGAATGAGCCCTTCTGCACTATACCCTCTGCAGTAACACTTGGCCTCTGCAGAGGCCTAGCCCTCATTTGGGAGGGGACTTGGAAGGTTTGTCTACCAAGTGGGTTCTCTGGTGAGCAAACAGGTTTGATTTCTGAATGAAACTTCTCCCGCACACGGGGCACTCATAAGGTTTCTCGCCTGTGTGGATTCGCTGGTGCCTGCTGAGGTTTGAGCTCTGAGGGAAGCTTTTCCCGCAGTCGGGACATTTATAGGGATTCTCCTCCGTGTGAGTTCTCTGATGGGAAGTCAGGCTGGAGCTGTAGCGGAACCTTTTCCCGCAGTCAGGACACTCATGGGGTTTCCCCTCCATGTGGGTTCGTTCGTGGGAAAGAAGGCTTGCGATCTGAACGAAGCCTTTCCCGCACTCGGTGCATTTGTAGGGTCTCTCCCCCGTGTGGATTCTCTGGTGGGTCATGAGGTTGGAGCTCTGAGTGAAGCTCTTCCCACAGTCAGGACATGGGTAGGGACGCTCTCCCCCGTGGGTTCTCTGGTGTCTGATCAGGTTGGAGCTCTGGCTGAAGGCTTTCCCGCAGTGAGTGCACTTGTAGGGCTGTTGCCCCGTGTGGGTCCTCTGGTGTGTGACAAGGGTGGAGCTCCGATTGAAGCATTTCCCGCAGTCTGGACAAATGAAGGGTTTATCGCCCGTGTGGGCTAGTTGGTGCCTCAGGAACCCAGAGCTGTTCTTGAAACATTTGGTGCAGTCGGGGCATTTGTAGGGTCTCTCTCCCGTGTGCACTCTCTGGTGAATTATGAGGTTCAAGCTCCGGCTGAACCTTTTCCCGCACTCCTCACATTTGTAGGGTTTCTCTCTGGCACTGTTGTGACTCCTCTGGTGCAGGCTGAGGGCGGAGCTGCAGGGGAAGCTTTGCCCACATTTACCACAGGCAAGTGATCTCTGCTCAGCTGGGTTTCTTTGCTGGCTTGTTTTGCTTGTTTTTGCATAGATGTTCTTGTCCCCTCTTTTCCCACGAGTAGATTTACCCAGTCTCTCCTCTGACTGGTTTCCATGCTCCCTCTCTGGCCTGCGCTGACTCTCACAGGCGTCTCCCTGCTCAGGGCTCTGGGAAACATCCCCTTCAGCTCTTCCCAATACTATCCCATGCAGTTTCACTTGCTCAGCACCTTCCTGCTGAGATTTCTCCTCCTCATTCTCACTCACCATCCCATCACCTGCTGGGACAGAGAGAGAACCCAGGAGGGAGTCAGTCCCTGTGGCTGTGGGAATGGGAACTCCAGAAAGGGGAACTAACCTCAATATCTGCTGAGGAGATGGAAAACTGACAAGACCTATTTCCCACAATCAATGCCTCAGAGGAACGAGGGGAGGGTCCACAGCCAGACATCAGATTGGATAGATCACCAATTTAAATTCTACTGGGGGTGTTTGCAAATAGATGCATATTTATGCAAATATATTCATATTTAAATTCTACTGGGGTTTTGTGGACTGAAGTGGATCGACAGCTGAGAGTGGTCTCTGGCCCATGGCGATGTTGCCCCCTGCCATTCTCCCAGCCCTGCGCACTGCATGTATGCTACGCCCAACCCCAGCTATGCCCCACTCTGGTGTCACAGAGTTTAAGGCCAGATGGGACCACCAGATCATCCAGACTGCTATCCCACATATCACAGGCCCCCAACACTACCCAGCACCCACACACCAAGCTCAACAACCAGAATTAGACCAAAATATCACAGCTCACAGGAGACTAGACTATTGTGTGCCACAGGCAGAGGCAGGAGGGACTGAGGTGCACCAGTGCCCGAGGCCCCGCCAGTGGCAGGGGAATGTCAAAGTGAGATATACGTGGATAATCCTGGCATGTGACCCACACTGCAGAGAAAGGTGTGAAAACCTAAAGTCACTGCCAATCTGACCTGGGGGAAAATTCCTTCCTAGGCCCACGTATGGCGACCAGACAGACCCTGAGCATGGGAGGAGGAACCAGCCAGCCTAGCACCTGAGAGAATGCTCAGTGCCACCTCTGAGCCCTGCCCCCACCATCTAGTGCCCACCGCCAGCCATGGGGATACTTCAAAGAAAACAGATTAAAAACACCCCACATCCCTTGAATGCATTGGGGGGAATCCCTTGCTGACCCCTGCACTGAAGCCCTGAAGCATGTGCGTTAGGAATATAAGACAGGAACTGGAAAGGACTCCCGGGCCAGCTGACCTCTTTCCCATCATATACAATCCCATAGCACAATCTCCCTCATTAATTTGTCCAGCTCTCTCTCAAAAAGCATTAAGTGGTTTGTCCCCAGGCTAGAAATCATCTTTTAATTTCCAGCCTGAATTTGTTCAGCAAGTTTATCCCCATGTGTTCTTGCCCAACGTTGTCCTTTAGCCTAAAGAGTTCTTCTCCCTCCCTGGTGCTCCCCGCATCCTCTGACGTATTTATAGTGAGATATCACATCTCCTCTTAGCCTTCGTTTTCCTAGGCTAAACAAGCCAAGTCTTCTGGCCTCCTCCCAGAAGATTGGCTCTCCATACCCCCGAGCATCCTACCAACCCTTCTCTGCACCTGGGCCACTTTGAATTAATCGTTTTTGGCCATGGGTGACCAAGACTGTGCCCAGCATCCCAGAAGAGGTCTCCCCAGCACCTCGCAGGATGACATCCACACACTTCCCTAGCTCCACTGGAAATGCCTCACTTCATACATCCTAGGATCACATTTGCCTGCTTTGTAGTCACACCACATTGGTGGTTCATAGTAATCCTGTCAGCGAACCCTGACTGACAGCTGCCTGGGCGCTACACTCCTCACACCCTACAGCCTCTTAGCTTGGGGTATGGCAGAGGAGCAGGGGGACCTGGGAGCCGATCAGCTGTGGGGAGCTCAGCCCCAGCCCTGCTCCTGCTGCTGCCCCAGCACAGACACAGCTGGCTGGATGCGCTCTGGAGCTGTGTGCCCGCGGTGGGCAGCGCCCTGACTGCGGCAGGTGGGCACTAAGGGGTGGGGATGGGGGCAGAGCGCAGACACAGCCAGCAAACCCCAGGGCTGGGTCCTCGGCTGGTGCCCTGCAGGGTCAGAGCAACCGGGGGGGCTGTGAGAGCCAGAGCCTGGCGAGGGTCAGGGAGGGCAGCAGCTCTGGGACTCGCAGACCCCCGCCCCCCGGGAGCAGAGCTGGGGCGAGGAGGGGCCGTTGGTGCAGAGTCACTTTCCTGCCCGGCCCCAGCCCTTCCCCCGGGTCTCTCGCCTCACCTGCAGGCTCCGGCTCAGGGGCTGGTATCGGCAGAGCCCAGGGCTGCCCCAGGGGCTGATTCCAGCCCCCGCAGAAAGTCCCCGCGGCTGGGCCCCGAGGGGCGCTGGGGAAGGGCTCTCCCCGCACACACCTCGCTGGGCAGCGGCAGCGGCTCAGGCCCGGCTCCCGGCTCACAATGGAGGCGGCAGCGGCGTCTGACCCGGGAAGTTCAACCCCCGATGTGCTGAGCAGGCAGGCAGACAGCAGCAGCCGTCTCCTTCCCGGAGCAATAAGCAGAGCAGGGCCCTCTGGTGTTACTGGGCATCATTTCGTTAGCCAGCTCCCTGCCGGACCAGGGTCCGTGTCTAGACAGGGCTGCTGCCCATTGTGGAGGCATGAATGGGTTTCATCACATGACAGAATCTTTCATTACAGATTAATCTTCAATCCAGGACACTCTGGAGGGCAGGCAACCCTAGTCCAGCATTTCCAGTGTCTCCAATCCCAGCTGAGGTTTTTCTTCCCCACACGGCAAGCTCTCTACAACCCCCAACCACAAGGAAACTCAGCAACCCCCCCTTCAAAAGTCACTTATCGCATCTGGGGAGATGATACATCTGGATAAGATTGGTTTCAGAGTAGCAGCCGTCTTAGTCTGTATTCGCAAAAAGAAAAGGAGGACTTGTGGCACCTTAGAGACTAACACATTTATTTGAGCGAATGCATCCGATGAAGTGAGCTGTAGCTCCCGAAAGCTTATGCTCAAATAAATGTGTTAGTATCGAAGCTGCCACAAGTACTCCTTTTCTTTTTTCTAGATAAGATTGATAACATCGCCTGTCTCCACCCTCTCAAGTGACTCAAACCTTCCCTCCTACACCTGCACTGTGCACTTGAGTGTTGGTGGGCAAACAGCTGCTGTATTTTCAACAGTTTTGATCTGTTATTGCTTAAACCACAGAAGTGGGAACACGGCAGCATCTTCAGCTGGACATAGAAACTTTTAACATTAGCTATCCCAGTGCATTACAGGATGTAGAGGACCTGATTCTCTGCTCACATGCACCAGTTTTTACACAGCTTTGCCTTCTGAGAAGCTGCTCCTGATTTTACGGCCATGGGAGGGAGATCAGAATCAGTCCCACAGCACCACAATTACACCCAGTGCTTTGCATCAGCAGAGCCCAGAGCACTTCACAAAAGAAGTCTGTATCAGTATCCCCATGTCACAGGGAAACTGAGGCACTCAGAGGGGCAGCAACTTGTCCAGGTCACCCATCAGGCCATTGGCAAAGCCAGGAATGGAATCCTGTCTCCTGATTCCTGGTCCAGTGCTCCATCCACTAGGTCACACTGCTTTGAAAAGAACCCCCATCAAGCTGGGGCGAAGACTGGAAGATGGCAGTCTCTTTCACTCCAACCCTCAGCTTTGGCCATTTGCTGGAAGTTATTTATTCTTCTGGGTACCAAAACATTATCATCACCATGTGTAGTTCTCTGCTGTTACACATAAAATATTCATATTGGTGAAATGATTTTAATAAACCCACATAATGAATTCTTGGGAAATATGCTGTCTGTTTTCTTAGCTAAAGTCCAGGCTATAAAGTTAATATACCACATTAAGGCCTTAAAAGCCAGAGGCTAAGCGACCAAGGGGAGCTAGCCAACAGGGGAGTTTGAGAGGGAGTTTGTGGGAGGGAGTCATTCTATAATTGCTTTGATTAGGAAGGGCCATATCGCCAGTGCTAACGCTGCTCCTGTCTCCTCCACCTGCGCCTGTACCCAGACAGACAACCATGGATGCCTCTACCCAGATCCTGGTATGGATTTGTAGAGACTGTGGCCTGCATTTCCCACTCACAAAAAGCCAGGAAGGGGGACCATCCAGGGTGAAAGGTGTCTGCTGGTGGAATCATAGAATATCAGGGTTGGAAGGGACCTCAGGAGGTTCATCTAGTCCAACCCCCTGCTCAAAGCAAGACCAATCCCCAACTAAATCATCCCAGCCAGGGCTTTGTCAAGCCTGACCTTAAAAACCTCTAAGGAAGGAGATTCCATCACCTCCCTAGGCAACACATTCCAGTGTTTCACCACCCTCCTAGTGAAAAAAATTTTCCTAATATCTAACCTAAACCTCCCCCACTGCAACTTGAGACCATTACTCATTGTTCTGTCATCTGCTACCACTGACAACTTTCTAGATCCATCTTCTTTGGAACCCCCTTTCAGGTAGTTGAAAGCAGCTATCAAATCCCCCCTCATCCTTCTCTTCTGCAAACTAAATAATCCCAGTTCCCTCAGACTCTCCTCTAAGTCATGTGCTCCAGCCCCCTAATCATTTTTGTTCCCCTCCGCTGGACTCTTTCCAATTTTTCCACATCCTTCTTGTAGCGTGGAGCCCAAAACTGGACACAGTACTCCAGATGAGGCTTCACCAATGCCAAATAGAGGGGAATGATCACATCCCTCGATCTGCTGGCAATGCTCCTACTTATACAGCCCAAAATGCCGTTAGCCTTCTTGGTAACAAGGGCACACTGTTAACTCATATCGAGTTTCTTGTCCACTGTATTCCCTAGGTCCTTTTCTGCAGAACTGCTGCCGAGCCACTCGGTCCCTAGTATGTAGCAGTGCATGGGATTCTTCCGTCCTAAATTCAGGACTCTGCACTTGTTCTTGTTGAAACTCATCAGATTTCTTTTGGCCCAATCCTCTAATTTGTCTAGGTCCCTCTGTATCCTATCCCTACCCTCCAGCATGTCTACCACTCCTCCCAGTTTAGTGTCATCTGCAAACTTGCTGAGGGTGCAATCCATGCTATCCTCCAGATCATTTATGAAGATATTGAACAAAACCGGCCCCAGGACTGACCCTGGGGGCACTCCGCTTGATACCAGCTGCGAACTAGACATGGAGCCATTGATCACTACCCATTAAGCCCGACGATCTAGCCAGTTTTCTATCCACCTTATAGTCCATTCATCCAGCCCATACTTCTTTAACTTGTTGGCAAGAATACTGTGGGAGACAGTATCAAAAGCTTTGCTAAAGTCAAGGAATAACACATCCACTGCTTTTCCCTCACTCACAGAGCCAGTTATTTCATCATAGAAGGCAATTAGGTTAGTCAGGCATGACTTGCCCTTGGTGAATCCAAGCTGACTGTTCCTGATCACTTTCCTCTCCTCGAAGTGCTTCAAAATTGATTTCTTGAGGACCTGCTCCATGATTTTTCCAGGGACTGAGGTGAGGCTGACTGTCCTATAGTTCCCAGGATCCTCCTTCTTCCCTTTTTTAAAGATGGGCACTACATTAGCCTTTTTCCAGTCATCTGGGACCTCCCCTGATTGCCATGAGTTTTCAAAGATAATGGCCAATGGCTCTGCAATCACATCTGCCAATTCCTTGAGCACCCTTGGATGCAGCGCATCCGGCCCCATGGATTTGTGTTCGTCCAGCTTTTCTAAATAGTCCTGAACCACTTCTTTCTCCACAGAGGGCTGGTTACCTCTTCCCCATACTGTGCTGGCTGTTAGGGGGCTTATTCCTTCACCCACTTACTTCCCTGGTCCTTCTCGCATGAACAGAAAGCAACAATACCCGAAGGCCAAAGGTGCAAACAATTCAATGTTTATTGGGGTGAACTTCCAGCAAGCATGATTCCAGTTTCCTTCCTTAGTGTCCCCCTTCCCAGCTCTGACACCACAGAGCCTTACCTGTGTCCCTGTTCCCATTCCCCCCCTTAGCAAAACATGATTCCAATTTCCCCACCCCCATTTCGTTCCCATTCCCTCCCTTAGCAAAACATGATTCCAATTCCCCACCCCCATTCCCTGTTCCCATTCCTCCCCCCACTCACTTCCTGATTGACTGCAGACTATACAGTAAAACTTGAGTTCTGCTTAGCTATACCTTAACCAATGATTTTCCTGAAATTTAACTAACCAATCCTAACATATTGTAACATGATTATTTAACCAATTATATCCCATCACCTTAATTAGTTTACACCCAGCAAAATTAATTATACAGCAGACAGAAACAATCACAGAACCAGAGCAGAGATTATACAGACAAACAATAGGGAAATGGGGACTACAGTGATAGATCAAACACAGAAATAAGGATTTCACATCCCAGCTATTAATAAGTGAGTTCTTGCCAGACAGGATGCTATCAAACTAAGTTTGCTTTTACATCTTCTAGGCACTTCCCTTTCTCTGGAGGTGATAGTACAGGATTGTATTCCTAACAGCCCAAAAGCACCTTATTTCAATGTGACTAGTTTGGAATGTAAGGATGTGACTGTTCACTTCCCAGTTTATGGCTACCTCTGCTGCTTAGCCAAAGGCCTTAGCCTAAGCACAGGGCCTCAGACTGTCACAGTAAAGAAGGTCCTTGCACCGGCAGACAGTGATTTTGATTCTTTCTTTTATACCTCTATAACTAGCTAAGTGATAAGAATACACCTAAATTCTTAAATACACCTTTACAGACAGGCCTGAATATCTATATCCTAACACTGCCCAGTGCAGTAGTCTGGGAGCTGACCTTGTTCTTGAAGACAGAGGCAAAAAAAGCATTGCGTACATTAGCTTTTTCCACATCCTCTGTCACTAGGTTGCCTCCCCCATTCAGTAAGGGGCCCACACTTTCCTTAACCTTTTTCTTGTTGCTAATATACCTGAAGAAACCCTTCTTGTTACTCTTAACATCTCTTGCTAGCTGCAACTCCAAGTGTGATGTGACCTTCCTAATTTCACTCCTGCATGCCTGAGCAATATTTTTATACTCCTCCCTGGTCATTTGTCCAATCTTCGACTTCATATAAACTTCTTTTTTGTGTTTAAGATCAGCAAGGATTTCACTGTTAAGCCAAGCTGGTCGCCTGCCATATTTACTATTCTTTCTACACATCAGGATGGTTTGTTCCTCTCAGGAAGCAGGTGGGAGAAGTGGAGGTGGCTAGGCTGAGGAGCATCTGTGCCCTTGAAGAATTCGTCAAGAGTATTCATATGGAGACATCCAAGACTGAGGAAGCTATCCAGCTACAGAGGATTGCTGTCACACCACCGGGAAAGGAGTATATGGCTGTGTCACAGGGAGGACACTGGCTGCTAGTTACTTCTGACAGCAGGCAGTGCTCCAGCCCTACTCCCAACCCACCCACCATGGTGATGGAAAACTGATATGCTGCACTGGCAACGAGCAATGAGGAATCACCCCCAAAGTTGGAAGAGGAGAAGTCATGTACCCCCAAGGCTGGGAAGATTG